AATCAAAGTTTAAATTTTTAGTTAAAATGTCTTACTCCTTAGATAATTTTTTTTTTTTTTTGTTTCTGTGTGATGCATGTTTAAATCTACATTTAAATAAGTAAATATGATTAATCTAATAACTTATGTTTAAATGAATAGTTTAACGCACTGTTGAAATGAAAATTAGATGTTAAGGTACATATAATAACCAATGACATTATCACAAGTAGTAGAAAGTTGAAGGAAAGTATCTAAAATTTTTATTGCAAAATGATATTCATGTTTTTGACTAAATGGATTGACCAAGAATAAATAGAGAATATTTTTTTTGTCTATAAATACAAATTTACTCAATCATTCTGAACGTGCAAATTCCAAAGCAAAACATGGCTACGCGTTGTGCTTTGCTCCATATGTTCTTCTTGCTTTCACTGGCGGTAGCACAACCATCAAACTCTACCAACAATACCATACCTGGCTGCCAAAGCAGTTGTGGTAACGTAGACATTCCATACCCATTTGGTATCGGGCTAAATTGTTCTTTGAACTCGGACTTCAACATCAACTGCGATACTTCTTTCAACCCTCCAAAACTCTCTGTTAAAGTGGGGTTAAGACCCTCGAAATCCTCCAGAAATCCTCGAAAGCAAGTTGCATTCTACCAATACTTTGAGGTTGTTAATATCTCGAAATCCCAAATCTATGTTAAGAACCAGGAGAAACAGCTGGCAAGGACTTGCTATGACGGTGAAATGACTTATAATTCTTATACTCGGAGTTCCCTCGATTTTTCTTCTACTCCTTATATCTTGTCAGATGCAAATCAGCTAACGGCAGTTGGTTGTGATGACTTGGCTTTGTTACAACAGCGTTCAAACAACTTCAGCGGTATTGGATGTCTGCCATACTGTCCAAACTATCCAAGTGATTCCGTCGGAAAATGCCCCGGCATGGGCTGTTGCCAAACCTCCATATCCAAATCTATCTATATCAATGTTAAACTGGACGACATGCATACTAATTGGGGGAAATGGGGGAAAAATTTCAATTGTAGTTTTGCCTTCATTGGAATGATCGACGATATTGGTAATTTTACCTTTAACTTATCCGATCTCAATGATTCAACAGCATTCCTGAAGAATAATAAAGAGTTTATAGATAAACCATTGGTGCTAGATTGGAGAATTGGTCCTGATTTGAATTGCACCAAAACTTCATGTGGAAAGAATACTCTTTGCACTAACTGGGATTCCCTTGATGGAGGATATGAGTGCAGGTGCGAGGAAGGATATGAGGGCAATCCCTACCTCGGGTGCCAAGGTTAGTTTTAAAATTTTTATATTATTTAATTAAAAGACTTATGCATTCGGCTATCCAATTCGAACAAGAAATCTAACAGTTATTTGCTTTGATGTCTGATGGGTGGGTGGTAGATATCGATGAATGCAACAATAATCCGTGCGCCTCCGATGGAATTTGCAACAATACTTTGGGTTCTTATAAGTGTTATTGCCGCGATGGTTATTATGGGGATGGCAAAAAAATGGGTATTGGTTGTATTCGAGGGACGGTCCTACCGGTGTCGAATCGCAATGTGACAATAGGTAATTTTCAATTAATTTTTGCATATTACATAATTATAATTTATTTTTCTTAACTTTTCCTCATTTTAAATTACAGCTTAAATTTTTTTATATAAATTCGCTAGTTGAAATTTTTTTTTTGTAATCAATATTTTAAATTAATTTATTTAAGAAACCATAATCAATTAAAGAATAATCTTCCCAAAATATCTAATTCTTAAAATCATTAATGAACCAATAGGATATTTTTTTAGCCAAAATCTGGGTAGAATATTTTTTAAAAAGGTAGAACAAAAATTAGTTATATATATCTTTGATTAATTTAATTTTTATGAAGCGATTATTATATTATTTAAATTTGAATTTAGGAATTATTAGGTTACATCTTTTACTGTTTCGAACAACACATTTTAATGATTTTACCATTCATGATGATAATAATAATAATAATAATAATGAAAAAGAATAATTTTATAATTCTTATGTTATTGTATTCAGCACATAATAAATAATTTTTACTTA